AAAGATTCATGGCCAACGGATTTCTGTACAATTCCGATAGAGCCAAGTATCAATCAAGAATTGATGGAATGACGGCGCAGTACACGTTGAAGCATCTGGATTTCAAACAACGTTGTACGTTTCCAACTACTTTGGAAAATGCCGCTGATGTTTTGAATCAACATAAACACGATAACAGGAAGAAGAATTCGAATGGAGGAAATTCGAATGGACAAGGCAAACAAAACAAATCAAACAACAATCAAAATGACGGAGCTCAGTTTTGCAACAACAAACTCGAGTGTGTTTTGTATGCGGATCGAAAGATCATGTCGCACCTCAATGTGCGGACAAATTGAAGCCGCGGGAAAAGTGGAAAAACCCGGACAAATATAGGGATTATTCGGACGAGAGTGGTCGTGGTAATCGACAAAATATGCAACGTGATGAAAATGCAACGCGTGATGATAATGAATCAGGAGATACAAATACTCAATGGAACTATGGAGGTTCCAACAATGGATCCCATGGAGGACAATTTATTCAACGAGGACATATGGATAATGATTCAAGACCACAAGGGATCATGTTGTTCCAACTCAACAATACTGGTATCCACTTGGACAGTGGATCTACTTTTCATTTGCGAACCAATGAGGATGACTTTAAAGAAGGAACTTTACAAGGAATTGATGGAGGATTTCATTACACCTCTAATATAGAGGGAAGAAGACTTTATCGAGAAGGAATTGATAAGGTATTTGATTCTGTTTGTAAGCTTGATACACGAGCTAGCGACAACATCAACAGTTTGTCAAACATGGTAAAAGATGGATTTGATGTATTTATGGACACAAAGAGAGAGAACAGCTTCTTTGTGACCAGAAACGGGACTACATGGCGATTTGGACATCGCAATGGATTATATACTTTGGTTGACAAACCTGCTGTGGCAACAGCAATGTTCCATAATCATGCACGTGGACTTGACAATGCTGGAGTAGACCCACGTTTTGATATTGAAATCGAAAGACACAAAGGAATGGCATTCATCCTACAGCGTGATAGGATTGCTATGGGTGAAGCGATGAATGAATATCACGGTTTATGGAAATGGACAAAATTTGCTCAATGGTGTTATGAATTGGCTAAAGACCAAAGATGGGATTTTGATGATTTAGAAATTCGCTTCGGTGGATTACCCAGTACAATCGTTCAAGAAGCAAAACGACGAGGTATTCGAAAAGATTTTCACGAATGGACAGATGGAAGAGGATTTATATTTGATGAAGTTCCTGCTGGAATGGAACTAGATGAAATTCACATAGTACCTAATAATTTAAATGATGATATGGAAGGGTACTGTGCTCTACAGAGTGTGGAGAAGAACAAAGAGGGTTTCACAAACAAACAAGTGAAACGAGCAAATGTTGCACAAAGTGGCTATCATATGATGGGAACACCTGGTGCAGAACTATTCAAGTTGGCGATTCGGGGAAATTTTTTCAAAAATTGTCCAATTACGGAGGAAGATGTTAATATCTCTGAAAAGATATATGGACCAAGCATTTCAACAATTAAGGGCAAGCAAAAGCGAACAACACCGAAGGCGGTGGTTGATGATTGGATCGAAATGCCCAAAGAACTCCTGAAACACAATTCGAATCTGGATTTATGCATCGACATTATGTTTATCAACAATGTCGCATTTTTTGTCAGTATTGACAAAGCGATCAAATTCCGATTCTCTACTGAACTGAAAGATCGAACAAAAGATGCTATTTACAAGTCGATTGACAAAATTTTACGCATTTCTAATCATGCGGAACTTCGAATCAAAACTATTTATTGCGACAACAAATTCAAACCGGTATTTGATGACGTGAAAGATAACATGGATGTGACCATGAATTATGCCGCGCCGGGCGAACACGAACCAACTATTGAGCGCAGCAATCAAACATTGAAAGGATTATTCCGAGCACATTATCATCGAATGGTGTTCAAGGCAATTCCTAAGGTTTTGACTATTGCTTTACTCAAGCATGTGACAAAGGTTATTAACTTTTATCCTGCAAAGGGAGGGAATTTCGAAATATTACAGTCCACATATGATTGTGAGACGAAAACCGGTGGATTTTTCAAAAGAATGTGTTGCTGAAATTGGATCCTTTGTACAAGGATATGGTCATACGACCAACAACAGTCAACGATCAAGAACGATTGATGTTATTTATCTTGGAGTGAATGACAGCATACAAGCGGGACATATGTTACTTGATCTTAATACAAAAAAAGACAGTGACAAGACCCTATGTAACGGTACTTCCGATCACCAAAAACAAGTGATCAAAATTGTGGAACAAATGGCACACAACGAGGGCGTTCGTGATTTGCGTACTTATCATTGGAAGAATGGTGAAATCATATTGGATGGTGATTTGCTTGCAGGAGTGGACCCAGATGAAGTGTGGGATGATGCATATATTCCACGCGAAAATGAATACAAACGAAGCGATGAGAATCTTTGTAATGAAAAGATTGATCAAGATGAAATTGATGCTTTACTTGAAGAAGCGGAAGAATTTATTGAAAACTATGATGATGAACACACCAAAAATGTTGAAGAACAGGCAGAAGACAGGAGTGTTGCAAGTATTTATGAACGATTGAGACGGAGAAATGATGATGAAAATTCCGATCAAGATCCCAATCCAAATGACAAATATCAAAATGATGAGGATTTAAATGAAAAGATTCAAGTAATTGAAGAAGACATTCAAAAAGACAAAGAAGATGTCGAATCACTTAACGATGAAGAACAAATTGAAGCATATAAATATTATCGTCACTGCGTTACGATGTTGTTGTCTTACAAAGTAGTAGCTATGATAGACGGTAGACAGTGTTGTAATCAAACGTATTCTTAAAAAGAGTGTTACCATCGTCAGATCGACGTGCTTCCCTGGAGGCCGATTTGTCCTTACTACTTACGGACTCTAGCGATCGTACACGTGCACCACAGCATGGTCGAT